CAGAACTCGGAGGCCTGCCAATCTCATATCAATATCAAATAAGTCCCCACACTTTCCATAACCAGCAAAGCAATTTCAACAAGGAATATACAACAACAAAGGCATGCTCATAAATCAAAGGATTCGAAAAGGATTCCAAAGAGGGATACAAATATGAATAGGTCAAGGTAATGATCAAACTCATATCAAGGTAAAGATTATCAAAAGAATCATACTTGAATCAAGGAATCAATATTACTAGCATGTTAGCTAACAAAATACTCTTAGGAAAGAATAAACAGAGTTCTCAACATAGATTTCAACACAATCCGAAGAAGCATCCAGAATAGGATTTATAGATGAGCAATAGCTTAATATCAAAGCAAAGGATTCATAAGACATAGTTCTAGACCCGAATAACATCAACAGATAGTCAAAGATACACTGGAGGCAAGAAAACAGTATAGGAAAATGAACTAGCGAGCGAGAAAGACAGGGTCAGAGGACTCGCCAAACCCTCCCGTGGGAACAAAACTGTAGAGGTCGGCGGGTCCTCTACTCTCGCCAAACCTCCCCTTAGTACAATAACGAGGGTGGATCACGGGCGTGCCAACCCCGTTGATCCCTCCCGCTAGGCCAAAAACGTAGCAGAAACAGTAGGTATCAGACTTTGAAGCAAAATGCAAAATCAGACAAAACAACAACGACATATTCCAGATCAAAATATATCAACATCAACAAGAACATGAGAATAGAAGAATGGCACATCAAAGGACAAGAAATTCTCAAGAATACAAGCTACATTTCAAGCATAAATAACAAGAATATGCTCAGAGAATTTCAAGAACATCAACAACACACATAGTGGAGTGAAAATATGTTTATTGGAATGGAATTTACCTTTTAAGCTAGTAATCCAACTAAAACTTCCTCAAGCTTACCTAGCAAGCCTTTCCCACCTTGATCATCTTAAAGCCCCCCAAAACCCAACATAGAATAGAAAAGAAGATTCATAAGAATATAGGAATAGATCAGAGAAGGAAAATGGTGTAGGAGTTAAGAGCTTACCATTTCCTAGCTTTGAATGTTATAATGGTGAAGACTTTACTTGGATTCTTGAATAAGAAATGGAAGATGAATGTTTGTGTAGGGGGGGAGAAGAAAGTAGCGTTAAGGAGGGGAAAGAATGAGTAGAGTGTCTAGGTTTTAGCTAGATAAGATATATAGATATATTGGTGTATATACATTAGGTTATAAAAATGAATATTTGGACTATAAGTGCAAATATGCTAACTTTATAAATATAAGGAAATGATGTGGGCTTTTAAAAGAATAAGAACTATATCTTATAAATAATATAAGACTAGGCCTACAATATTAATATTCAATGTCTTAAAAAGTTTTATATATATATATATATATATATATATATATATATATATATATATATATATATATATATATATATATAAAAGGCTAAGGAAGTTGGGCTTAGAATAATTTTATGCTAGGAATGTTTAAGCAAAAGATTGGGCTTCAATGAAAGAATAATTCCCTCCTTAGAAGAATAATTATAGGTATTAATACGGAGTAGGATAATTTTTGGGGTGTCACATTTTCCATATCCATATGATTGATACATCAATTGTCATTATATGTGAACTCTTCATTTTTAAACTATTATTGATAGGGGTATCAAAGTGGGCCGAAGTCCGCCCCACAGTGGGGCGGGTTAAGGCCGTAAGAAAGTTGACACGCGAAAATGTGAGTTTAACGGGTTTAGCCCGCTGCAACCCAAAACCCGCGCGGGCCAGGCCCTTTTATTTAAAAATAAAAGTACTAGGTTAGGGTGTTAGTCAATTAGGTTGTTATGCAGTCAACCCTCAACAACTCAACACTCAACATAACCGCACCAATTCTCTCAGCTCCCACCTCTCGTCTGTCGCCCACAACCAATTCTCACTCGCCTCATATCCGTAGCCCACAACCAAGTGAAGCCGAAGTCGCATCGTCTATGTTGGTGGTGTAGCATCCACCAGTTCCCACCCACTCCACACACTCGTCCATTGAAACATTTCTTGTTTTGTTGGTCGTCATCACCCTGCTTGTAGTCATTGCCGGCGTTATCACCCGGTTTTGTGGCGACCGCCACTTTGGTGGCTCCGGGGAACATGACATAGAAGGGTGGGTTTAGAGAAGGTGTCAGAGTTGCATTAACGGTGGCATTCCTCCACTGTCGCAAGAAGAACCCAAACCATTGTCACCACTACAAGCTCCAGCTCTAGAAGAAGCCACTAGTACAAAACTGCACATCCGATCCGCTACACTTGTAAAAGTGTAGCGGATGCGGGTGATGCGTAAAAGCCAAGGCTTTCTGCGACACTTGTCAAGGTTTTGCGGATTTTATTATTACTATTATTATTATTATAGAGTATCCGTGACACTTTCTTCTTAGAAAGTGTAATGGATACTTATTTTTTTAAAATGCAATCCGCGACACTAAGAAAGTGTCGCGGATAGTATTTTTTTTAAATATATTATTTAATTTTAAAATACTCTATTTTTTATTATTCAAAATCCTGTACAGAAATTTTCAAAACTAACAAACTAGCATAACAAACTAGCAAAACAAATTATCTATTCAGCATAATTTACAAATCAACCCAATAAACTAGCTACTCACAATAATAACTATCAACACAAAATATTATCACATTATAGTTTGTAAATTATATTTCACAATTAACAATCAACACAATATATCATCTCAATATACTTACTATCAACACAATAATAATAACCAACACACATTTAAAATTGAAATCAAGATGATTGTTCAACAAAATATTATATCAATTAATAATAATAATGATAATCAAGATAATATTCAAACTAAATAAAGTTACACGCACTCTTCTAAAAAGTATTTCGCTCACAACTCTCGAATCTCATCTGTTTCATTCATAAAGTACAGTGCTTCTTCAAATGCTTACAAAAAAATTTTAATGAATCAAATTATTAAATATGTTAATTGATAAATTATAATTTAACTATACATTAGTTCTATTTGAATTCACTGACCCATCTAAACAATCAACCAATGAATGTTTAGTAACAATGCCGTACATGTATCTCAATACATAGTATCCACAATCAACGCCTCCTTGTTGGTGTGGAGACTACAAAGTATGTACATATATTAATTCATGTTAATATCATATTAAAATAATAAATAAAAATTAAGATTAATATCATATTCAAACTTTCATTTTAATTTCATACTTTGGATTGTTTCCAATCAATAGCTCTAGTCCCTCGTCCATTTGCAGGAATAGATCGAAATTTCATATATTAATTATAAACATATATAAAAATTTATAAATAACATAATAAAATTTAAAATAATTATATTAATATTAAGGATTTTACTTACCTATTCCAAAGCTTTGACATCAAGGGTGCGGTCACATCTCAAGGGATCCAATACATACACAATTCTTGAACGTATGTAAATCACGATAAGTAACCAATGATTACTACATTTACAAAACATACATATATTAAAATTCTAATATCAAACACTTCAAATAAAGTCATTAAGTTATATATATTAGTAAAGTAAAAGACTAACTCTTGATGATACGACCCTAATGTGAATGGTTGATTCTTGTGCTAGTCAATGAAATGAATGATATATGATGTAACGGCAACACAATTCATGTTAAAAAATTTGAGATGGACATGCAAACGTAATATCGTGACTCTAAACTGCTTACACAACTTATTCAAAAATTTTAAAAAAATAACAAATAAAAAATTTCAATAAACATAAAAAAATAAATAAATGTATATAAAACACAAAAACAATTTGAATCTTACAGCAGACATTAAGTCAAATCATCGTCAAGAAATTGTATAGATGCTTGGTAATTGAATTTGTAGATAAAACTTTTGTAGCCTGTGCATTTAGGTTTAATATGGCTTAAATGTGACATATCACCCCTTTTGAGCGTCTTCCGAGCTGAGCCTTACTATTAGAGCTGCCTAATAGCCTACCATTATCTTGAGAACTAATCCCCCTCCCTATCCCCCCCTTCGCCTTCTCGTCCATCTATAGTGCAGACAACTCCCATCATATTTAAAGTTTTTATGTCTAAGTTAGTTATAACTGCACTCGCGTGTACATGTATTATTATTGTGTCGCAACTACTTTACAAAGATCCCAAAGAATGCATGCATGTGTATTCTCGCACTTGTTCTATTGTCATATTTCATTGGATTGTACACCTGTATATTTCTTGCCGTTAAAATCGGAAATTAAGGAGCTATCTTCAACCTCTGATCAAATTCAATAGTATTCGATAGTATTTATGTAGTAATAATTTTTGGCTCATTGTTTTTAATAACCTCGTATTTGTTATGTTTACAAATAGTTGATCGGAGCAAAAAGATTTCCATTGCTGTTACGGCCACAACAAAGTTCATCAAGATTATAGGTTTGGTTCTCAAGTCTAAATTGAAGAATTCCCAGTCAATTTCTCGATAAAGATTTAATGTTGGAAAGAAATAAAAGTTGAGTTTGTTATTATATGAGAGATGAAAGATTGAAGTTCATGAGTTTCTTCCAACGAGACAAGTGTATGTTTGATTAAACTAAAAATAATAAATTAAAAAGTTATTTCAAAAAAGAAAAAAAATAGAAAATGATTAATGTTGGCCTTTTTTCTTTTAATGATGTATCGTAATTTCTTTGTTCGTCAGTTTTTAATTAATTACCATTTAAATGTACATCAAATTTGTTATTATGATTATTTTGAATTGTAATAAATCAAATATTACAAATCAAATTATAATAAAATTTTACAAATTCATAATAATCAATGTTAAAAAAATTCATATTCCAAAATTCACTTAATTTTGTTTTAAAATTGAACGTTTTTATTCATCTACATCATAAACTTTCGCTCATTTAATAATGCAGAATGTAACAATTCATGAAAAAAGAATCAGACAATTCAAGATAATAGATAAACATGACAATCTTTAACACCAAATCACATCTCAAATCTTAATTTGATTAATTCATAATAAAACAAATTATGCATAATCTCTAACGGTACAAAGCTACATAAGTAAAGGTTACACTTTGAAATCTCAAGAATTTGTGCCCAGATCTTCAGCCAATCTTCTCTTCTCTTCCTCCTCTACAACAAAAAAAAAAAAAAAAAAAAAAAAAAAAAAAAAAAAAAGGAGCAATTTTGCAGAAGGTTAGGAGAACTTCAAAAGTCACACAATTGTCACCAATGAGTATTTTGTAATATCGAGAAGTTTAATAGAACAACAAAATTTAAATAAATAGGACAGAAAAAAAAAAACAGCATAACCACACCACCTAAATACCATAAAGAATAACCAAACCACCAAAAGCGATATATAAATGGATGACCACATGCACATGCAGAAACACATATATGCGCAGTACATGTCACTGCACACATTGTAAGGAAATGAGAGATAGGCGGAAGCAAATTCAAAACTAAACCAAACTACTTGTTCAACACCAGTGCTAAACCCTGTATGCATAAAGATGGATGCAGGGCAGTGTACATATCTTGAAGATCTGAAAATTAGGCAGAAGAGGAAGCTGAGCTAAGTCATCAAGCACTAACAAGGCGTTTGGTTGGAAAGAGAGAATTAAGGGGGAAAGGAATTGTAATTCTGTAGGAAAAGAATAAGGTATGAATAAAGTAGGAATTCCAATTTCATTGTTTGGTAGGAATAGAATTAATAGGAATTGAAAGGAAAGAAGTGATATAAAAACTAAAATGCCCTTGTGTAATATTACTAATAATAATAAGAATAAAGTTGTCATTTGCTGTGGAATTCCAATTCCGGGGGGAGGGGTGGGGCTAGGAATTGCAATTCCATCCAACCAAACAATGGAATTGTAAATTCCATGGAATTTGGTGGGAATGGAATTGCAATTCCATGCTACCAAACGCCCTGAAGGTATGCCTTTGGGACAACTATAGCAGAGTGTGCAGACCGTCTCCATGTGTAGGGAAATTCTCAATATGTTTAATGTTTTAAATGTTAAGAGCTAAGTTCAAGAAAAGAAACTATTGAATCCACCTTCTTCCCCTAGTTTTTAACCTTCTCTCAAGAAGTGAATCAAAGAATTAACCAATGCTAAACTACATCCCAGTCCATACTTTATAGGAGTGTGCACTTCACCTTGTCAAAATCATTCTACTATTCAAACAGAAAATACCAACTTTTAAAACATATGGTAGTTCTTTGAATTCCTTACATAGTTTCATCACTATCATATTTCCAGTGGTGGATCAAAATTCTATACATCCCAAAACACAATTATAACTAATTATAACTAATACAATAATGGAGAAACCTAAAAAAATATCCTTTTAAAGGCTCAACAGCCCATATACCCAACCTCTTACACTAAATTTTGCACCAAATTATACACCAAAGAGAATATTCTCTAGATATTCTTACACCAAAAATTTTTCATCAAAAACCCATTTACACAATTACACCAAATTCAATTCAAACACTATTCATTTACACCATTTTGGTTTAGAATTTGTTGTCAGGTTGCACCAAATTTTTACACCAAAAATCCAAAATGGTGTTTTGGTCTCTTCTTTGGAGATGCCCTTTAGGACGACATAAATTACTCTTGTAGTTGCTTGGATAGTGTGATGTTCAATCAGGAAAAAGTACAAAATGAACATGAGATTAAGTAAATTACTTTCTTAAACATAAAAAGAAAGCAGAGAAGACAGCTTCAGGCTGTACTAAATCTCAAAAAAAATATTTAAGCACAGATATAAACCAAACAAGAAACATAAGTGTGATTGGCAGGCCAGCATGGTATTATCACAAAAAGAAAGAAGTGGAATAAATAGCATACCCCCTAGTTGATGCAGAGCCTTGAGTGAGCGCTTCTCAAGCTTGTCAAGCCTCTTCTGTACGTCTCTCCTCAAGTCCCAATTCGGTTTTTTGGGGGCAATATTCAAGAAGGGATCCTCATTTTTCTCCTTTTTGTCTTGGGGTGGAGTTAGGTTTGCCATAGGGTCATCGAACTTGGGTAATACTGGAGGGGCAAGTTTACCCTCCTGAAGGTGCTTGTCTTGAGGCAGATAATTTCGGAATTTCATTTGGAAATTCTCATCACTACCAAAAAGGAAATCAAACAAACAAACAAAATCAACAACGGATAAAATGAAATTGAGAAATTAACAAATGATATAAACCCTAACTACAAAATTCTTAGATTTAGGCAGCTATTGTAATGCTTACTTTTCTTGTTGGTCTTGGCTAGCATCCTTATCATCGTCGGGGGTTTCGTGAAGCTCTTGGGCAGCTCTGAGGGCCTTGAGCCGCTCCCTACGGGCTGCCGCCGCCGCCTCGACCGAGCTTTCATCCTCAATTCCCATTCCAAAAAGCTTAATCCAGTAGAATACCGCACAGTCACGACCACGCCGGTTGGAGAGGATTAATATGTATTTATACCGCACAGCATAAAGCCAATCGTATCTTTAATTTTAACTTCCGTCCAATTCTTAGCTTTCTAATAAAATATATAGTCTTTTACTTTCCAATTCCTACTATAATTCAAGGTTAAAATTTCTATTCTAAATATTATAAAATAATGTAATACAATCTCTAATAGGATATATTGTTTCTTACTTTCATATTCCTACTAAAATTTTACATTAAAATTCCTATTCGTAATACTATAGGACAATCTATCCATATCCATATACTAGTTTTTTTACGCAGATGGGATAAATGGATAATGCCCAATGATTATTTTTAAATAAATATTTCAAAGTATATTAATGCAATATTATATAGGAGATGTTCATGTATAAGTAAATAAATGTTGAATTTGTTTATTTAAATCGGTAATTCAAAGTATATAAATGCAAGATAATATATGAGATATTGATTATAATTGTCACTAAAATAAATGTTTGCAACTTTGTAATAACGCATAAATATTTAATCTAAAAATAATAGTTTAAATAAATACTACTTTTGATTTAAATTTTTCTAATTCTTCTTAATTCTCTTTTGGGTAGCTTTGTCATGGCCTTCATCTTCAGTACATGTCCTTTTTTTTTAATTGGTAATGTGTCATGTCCAATTGGGTTACTGGTAGTAGCATAGAGGGATTCATCGTGCAATGAGATTATGATGTAGGAAGCTTTAAATTTGTCTTGTTGTGTATATGATGTGATCTTAGTTGTAGTATGAACTCTTTATCTTAAAAGCACCTATTGATATTTGGTAATTGTAGGTTTTCCCCTACATTTTTCATGCATTGTGAGATGTGTGTCGTAGGTTATCATGTGAAAGTATTGAACAAAATATTACTCCGTACTATTTATTATATTTGTATAAAATACTTGGTAAATAAATATATATAACATATTTTGTATTATAATTTTGATATTTAATTACAAGATAATGTAAAAAGAACATAATGGGCAAGGAAGTGAATATAATAAATTAATAAATTTGAAGGTAGTGAATCTTTGAATTGTAGAAAATAAAGATAATACGAGTATAACTAATGAAATTATATCTCTTTTTAAATTTTTTATAATGAATAATTTTATTTATTTATTTATAAATAAAGGCATTATAGATGTCTAATTCTAAATTAATTATATGCATATGTATTATTTTTTGTTGTAGCTACTAATTGTTTTCAATAAAAAGGTCTTTGGTTCGAACCCCATCACAATCAAAGTTGGCATAATTAGTACTCTATTTTACTCATATTAAATTAAAATAATAATTTAGTAGCTACAACAAAAAATAATACATATGTATTTCTTTAATTTAGAATTATGTGTCAACAATGTCTCTATTCAAAAAAAAGTTATTCATTATCAATAAATTAAATAAGAGAAATAATTTCATTAGTTATATTGTCTTTATTTTTCTCTAATAAAAAATTATTTACATTCAAATTCATCAATTGATTATATTCGTTACATTGTCCCTACAATGTCTTTGTTAAAAAAAATTATTCATTGCCAGTAAATTAATTAAGAAAAATAATTTTATTAGTTATATTGTCTTTATATTTCTCCAATTTAAAAATTCTTTACATTCAAATTCATCAATTGATTATATTCACTACATTATCTATTATCTTTTTTTGGACGATTTTTTAATTAAATATCAAAGTTATATACAAAATAATGTTATATATTTATTCACCAAGTATTTAATTAATACCATGAAAAAAATAAAAAAAAAACACAAAATTAATAAAGCCAATCATACTACTTGAGGGATTTGTTGACAAAGAGAGTATTCAAATCACCAAACAAATTGAAGTGAGAACTACATCTCAATGTTCTTGTTTGACAATCAACAGTTAGCGGTTAGCGTTAGCGGATTATATTAGCGGATTTGACCAACGAATTATATCAACGCTGGTAAAAAGATATTTGAAAAAATTAGCTGTTTTGATTAACATATAAAATGACCTAAGAGTATACATATATTTAATAATAACCATAACAATAACAATAATAATAATAATAATAATAATAATAATAATAATAATAATAATAATAATAATAATAATAATAATAATAATAATAATAATAATAATTGTTTTTAAAAAATAAAAAAATAAAAAAAAATAAAATTAAACCAATCATATTAACAACTTGGGGGATTTATTGACAAAAAGAGTATTTAAATCGCACACCAAATTGGGAGGATGTTCCTCCTGCTTTTGTTGATTAATATATGCAGCAGTTTTTTTTGAAAACTCTATTACAATGTAGTATAATATATGCAGCAGTTTTTTTTTTTGAAAACTCTATTACAATGTAGTATAATATATGCAGCAGTTTTTTTTGAAAACTCTATTACAATGTAGTATAATATATGCAACAGTTTTTTTTGAAAACTCTATTACAATGTAGTATAATATATGCAGCAGTTTTTTTTTTGAAAACTCTATTACAATGTAGTGTAATATATGCAGCAGTTTTTTTTGAAAACTCTATTACTATGTAGTATAATATATGCAGCAGTTTTTTTTTTTAAACTCTATTACAATGTAGTATAATATATGCAACAGTTTTTTTTTTGAAAACTCTATTACAATGTAGTATAATATATGCAGCGGTTTTTTTTTTTTGAAAACTCTATTACAATGTAGTATAATATATATAGCAGAATCAAGTGGCGTGTAGTCCACTAGTATCGAGTTGCTCCCCTAAGTGGGAGGTGTAAGGTTTGAACCTCATTTGAGGTAATAGTGTGTATATATAGAGTATTCCCCTTCCTTATAATAAAAAATAGGGAGAAGTGTCAAATAGGCTCATGTACTATTGTCAAGTGCTCAAGTTCAATTAGCTTTTTTTGCAGGTAATTGACTTTTTTTTACAGGTTACCAATTCAATTATTAAAAAAAATAATTTCAAAATAATTTAAAAAAAAAAAAAGAATACAGCCTTCCCCTTTTCAACTTGTTTCCTTCCCCTTTTCCATCCATAGTTTCGTGGAGAAATAGTGGTTCTCGCTTTCTGTTTCCAGATCCTGTTTTTAATTGTGCCATTATTTAAAACTGACTAGTAACCTTAAAAAAATAAACACTTGCAAAAATATTTGAGCAGGAATTTTTTAGGGTTAATGTTCTGTCTGGGCAGTTTGTGATTTGAAGTTATTTGGTGTGGTTGAATTTTTATGTCAATGTTTTGTTTAACATAGTTGTGTGCTCATATATGACAGTGTTGTGGTTTGGATAACATGCAGCAGCTTGTGCCAAGCTTACCAGACTGGATGAGTGGAGGTTGTGGCATCAATAGGGTACTAGAATTGGTAACTTTGAAATTTACGAGCCTTTACCTGGTTGAATTGTTATGCACAAGGGATCAGATGAGATTTTGATGGATAGCTGGTTGGCCGCCACCGGCTGTCCGGCGAGGACAGCCGGTGGCTGTATTCTTTTTTTTTATTTTTATTTTTATTTTTATTTTTATTTTTATTTATTTTATTTTATTTATTTATTTTAATAATTAAATTGGTAACCTGTTATTAACCTGTAAAAAATGTCAATTGAACAAATTTAACTTGTAGATGAATCTATTTGACACTTAATTTAGTTCGTGGTGGAAATTGAGCACTTCGCAGTAGTAGGTGGGCCTATTTGACACTTGTGCCTAAAAAAAAAAATAATATATGCAGCAGTTTTTTTTGAAAACTCTATTACAATGTAGTATCTGTCAATAACACCTCTATTGAGGCTCAAACTCACAACCTTTCAAATGGAAGTCCAATTCGGGTACCATTAGACCACATTGTCCTAGTATATATAGCAATTTACTTTCAAAAAAATCACACAACAAATTGAAGTGGGAAACTACCTCGCAATGTCATTGTTTAGCAATCAGTAATTAGCTCTTCAATATTAGTATATATTTAATATTTTATGCCATAATTTTTATTTGCTCTCCCATATGTCTCGTATTTGGTTTCAACCATACCTATACAATTATTTTATTGACAATTATAATCAATCTTGACTATATTATCTTGCATTTGTAAACTTAGAATTATCTATTTAAATATGCAAATTCAACATTCAATTATCTATGCATGAACAATTTCAATATAATCTTAACTTGATATACTTTGAAGTACTTATTTAAAAAAAAAAAAAACATTGGGCATTATCCAAATCGCGCAATGTGCGTAAAAAACTAGTAATTTAATAAGAGTAATAAAGTGGCGTACATACTTTTCATCAATAATAATGAAATCATTGATTTTTTTTTAATTTCCATTCGTTGTTGGGACAAATTGTTTTGAGAGTTTGTCAATGACAATTGTTACAATTCCTGTCAATAGAGGATGATAATAAATAATTTAAAATATATAGTTACAATAGATAATGTTATAATGATATAGTAAAAATAACTTACAAATTTCTTTAGAAGTTTTCATGCGTTGATAAAATACTAATTTGTAAACTTGTTCAATTGGAGCCAGTGTGATGTCAACATTGTCAATTCCTTAGAAAATGGTCATATCGTTTTAGAGTCCAGGTGTAATTGTATTTATGATCAACAACTTTGTAGTTAGGTCGCGCAGGTCTGACAATATATGATGTAAGAACAATTTTGTCCGGTAAAAAAATAATAGTGTAATATTTATAAAGTAATGTACAAGTGTACCATTATAAAAAAATACATACAAAAAAATATTAATACCAGAATGACCTAAATCATTCCAATAATGCAAAAGTATAATTGAAACATTAAGTTTTGTTCTAAATAATCTAAATAATATTAATTAAATGACAAAAAAAACTTAACCTAAATTTGTTTTTTTTTTTTAAATGTATAAAAATCAAATGATTTTTAAAGTTTCTGATTTATAATCTTTGAATGCTATGTATTTAGTGGGACTAATTATTTGATCAAAGTTTATGTTAAATTTTATAGAGTTACCACCCATTTTGGTCCCTCGACTATTAGGTAATGCACAATTTAGTC